CGTCGTTCTCTGTCGTCGCCTCGCCGTCGTGCCTGAGTCGCCGTCATCGCTGGGTCGACAGGGGAAATTGTCTCCCGGCGTTGGCGCTGCTGCTGGTGGATCGAAGGATGAGGTTTGCTGCGGCGCTGGTCTCAATCGAAGAAGAAGCCGGAACAGAGACGCGTAAACAGGGTATATAAATGCCTAGGGTTTTGTACTCCTTAATTTAAAACACACTTTTCGGGCCAACTTGCTCCGAATTGAGATCCGTTCGCGTCGTTAGATTCGATTCGTCGATCCCTACCCGATGGTATAACTTTTATATTCAATTGACAAAATTTATACGTTCCACTTGATCCGTCTTGATTCTTTCGATTAATTAGTACTGATCAGCCTTTTACTTTAAATCTTTACAAATATAATTAGATTAGTTTCGTTATATTGAGATGACTAGAATCTCTAAAATATCTTTTAATTCTTTAAAAGAATAGATTATTGTAATTAAATAATTCTTATTTATTTAATTATTGGTTAACTTCTAGACCGGTTTTCAGGGCGTTACATTTATTATTTTAATTTTGGAATTATTACATGATATTTTTGCGTTGATGCAAATTGTTACAAATTTAATTGAAGGGGAGGATTCGTGTCGGGCTGAGGTGCGGGGGTTTACTGGAGCGGTTAGGGGGTTAGTGATAAGTCGGGTTTGGGTTAATTCTTTTTATTGTTTTTAGGCATTTTTAATATTTTAGTATTTAAATTTTATTTTTTAGCTTAGTTTTATTTTAATTTTCATTTTAACAATCTATTACTCCTTCCGTCCACCTAAGATCTTCCCATTACGCGTTACGAGGCTTGACCGATTTTATTTTCAATTCAATTTAATTGATTATAGGAGTTAAATTTTAAAATAAAATTTATATAGTAGTTTTTCCTCCAATTCTATGTAAAAGTTTTTCAATCATTTCTTTGTAAAATTATCATGTAAAAGTTTTTGTCAATTCAACAAATGGGTAACCCTTATTTGTCAATTTTTATTTTTTCCTCCAATTCTATGTAAAAGTTTATTTTTTATTCAATTTTACATTTTTAGTTTGTTAGTTTGTTCCAAAAATTCTAAAAATATGGTTGGTGTTCTTGTATGGATTTTTTTAATGTTTATATTAAATCCCTTATGAATGAGAATTGATTCATGCTAGTTTTCTTCAATTATTGCACAAGTTGTTGTTGAATTGGTTGAATTGCATAATTTGATTTCACAAGTAGGTTGGTATGTGGAATTCGGTTTTTGTTGAAGCTATTTTAGCTCCATAAGGTAGTTAAATGAACTCCGGATTCATACGTGATTCTTTGTTGTGCTTGTGTTTGTTAATTTTAAGGATTTTGGACTACTTAGCCCCATAAGTTGATTCATTTTTCTTAGAATTCGTTATTAAGTGATAGGGTATGTTTTCATGTGTTTGTGTGTTATTTTCATAAATTGAGATAGTTTAAGTGCAATAAACAATTCTTGATTTATTGAAAATATGTTGTGTTCTTCTATGTGAATAGAAAAAACGTCATTGGTTTGAGAAGTTCATGGAAATCTGTGAAATGTGCTCATCATTAGGAGAAAAGTTTGTTAACATGCATAAGGTATTGGTGATTTGTGAATAGATTGTGCATGAGAGTTGAATGAAAAAAAACGCTCTTTTATAAACTTTTTCTATAGTAGTATGTTTTCATGCTTGATTGTGAGTTGGGGTTCTAAGGTATATTTCAAAATGGGCCTTTGAATTGCATGACTCCGGGCCGTGTGGAGAGTTGATAATCCTCCATATCGTGGTTAAGGAAATGAATTGACTCGGCCTTTGATTGATTTTTCCTATTCTTAAGTGCGTAAGTTACGTAATATATTGTCTACATGCCTATTATACGTGTAATGTTTGATTTGTGTTTGTTCTTTTTTCATTTTGTTTCGGGTTCTTGGCGGTGTTTTTTGGGTTACCGTAGTTGGAGTTGATTATCTTTAGAGCTTGTTTTCCCCCATTTTATAAAAAAACAAAAAAATAAGAAAATATACAAAACCAAAAAAATATTTTCTTTTTATTCAACCCCCCATTTGTGTTATATGAGCATAAGTTTTTATTTACTAAGTTATATTATAAGTATTTGTTTATAAGTTATAAATATAAGTTCTTTATACTATATTCTTAGTATATTTTTAGTATGTGTTTAGTGTTTTAAGTTACTCCCTCCGCCCCCCTTAGATCTTCCCAATAGCCCTTCTTCTTTGTCCACAATAGATCTTCTCATTTCATTTTTTAACAATTAAAATACCACAACTACCCTCACTTACTTTATTTATTACACCTCACCCACCTCATTTAATACACTCCACCCATTTTCATTAAGGGTATTATGATAAACTTTCACCTTTTTTCAATTCTCCTTAAAAACCACCAAAAGTCAAAATGAGAACATCTTAGGGGGACGGAGGGAGTATATTATAAGTTTTTTGTTTATATAAGTTATATTTATAAGTTTTTATATTTATTTAGTTATAAGTTTTATTATAAGTTTTATACGTCTTATCATATGTGTAGTAGTTTGTTTTGTTTAGTGACATTGTGGTTGCATGCTAAATTGGTTTTAAGAAGTACAAACTTTCTCCATGGGATCGACCCTTACTTGCTCTAGCTATAGATTTTATTTGACTATATATCGGGGGTTAGCTAAGGATATTTTTTAAATTTTTAATTTGTTTTGGACCGCACGACAAGTTCTCAATACTTAGGAACCGTTAGTTTTTCAAATAGGGCCCATAAAGTCCATTTAGATCCTCGGTCATAGTATGACATTGAGGTTCAATATCACTTGAAATCCTCCCGTGATTTAGGTTGTGTTCCGTTTGCCTGATCTGATATGATTTTTTGAAGATCTAATCTAATCTGATTTTAGTTATAATTAAAGCTATTATTGATTTAATCCGATCTGGTTTGATATGATGATAATAAAAATAAGTAATAAGAATAAAAATAAGTTAAACGGAACACTATCTTACTCCCTCCGTCCCAATTTATAGTGCATGTTCACTATTCACAGGGTCAAACTTCATTCACTTTCTTTCTCTATTTTCATTAGCAATTTGAAAAAATAAAGTACTATTGTCACTACTAGTTTTGTAGATCTTTTGATGTAGTATTTTGATATGTAATTTTCATTTTTTAACTCTGTACCATTTGTCATATAAAATGATTTGAAAATAATTTCAGTCAAACATCGTAAACCGAAACAGGCGCTATAAATTGGGACGGAGGGAGTATTTGTGAAGCAGAAATGTGAAAATTATCTATTGCGACGATTTTGGATTTTCAGATGATGAAAGTACATGTACGTATTTATTTTAAAAATACACCCTCCATCTCAAAAAACTTGACATAGCGGTTTGCGATATTTAATTGTAGGTACTTTCAATTTAATTTAATATTAGTATAAAATTTTAAAAATAAAAGTTATATGCTCTCTTCATCCCAAAATTAAAGTCTATGTTGTTTTTTAGTGAAATAGTGACATTGTTTTGCCACAAATTATAAAAGAAAAAATATATTTACTTTTTATGAAAATTTAATATGATTAGCTACATAACTAGGTTTATTTTAAGATATTTTGATATACCTATTTTAAAAACATTTTTTTAATTTAAAATAATATTTAATTTGTGATTAAAACGTGTTATAGTTTGACTAAAAAATTGTAAAAGGACATTAAATCTTGGACCAAGGGAAAATAAGAAAAATCTATATCAAAAGTTCTACCAAACAATAGGTGATGTTTGTATATTGTTTGATCAAATGAGTATATCGAGATGCGAAGAAAGAAAAAGATACTTGTAAGGATAGTTTTGGAAGAGAGAGATCAACATGTTTAAACAATGTAATTTGGAATTCAATATTTTATATAAAGAACCAGAGAGCAAACCATTTCTTGGAAAAGGACAACTAGGCTCTATTCTTTTCGGTTGGAATTCTAAAGTTGGATGTTGGAAAAATTTGAAAAAGTTAGAAGAAAGTGGAAGGAATTGTAAGAAACGGGAAGGATTTGAAAAAAATTAGAAGAAGTTGGAAATTGTTGGAAAAAATAATGTGTTTAAAAAATTATTCAATTAAATGATCACCCAAATAAACATGTAAAAAAACTAATTTTTGATATAAAGAAGAATTCATCTTTGCTTGTGTCTGATGTGTTATGTTATAAATTTAAATATATAATGTTATTGTATAGTTTTCATAAGTAAATACATTTTTCATGTCGTAGTTGAAAAGAAACATGAAGGAGTTTGAAAAAACAGGAAGAAGTTACGTTCGATTTTGGGAATGATGAAAGTAAATGTACTTATTTATTTGAAAAATACACCCTCCGTCTCAAAAAAAACTTGACATTGCGGTTTGCGATATTTGATTGAAGCTACTTTCAATTTAATTTATTTTAATATTATTATATAATTTTAAAAATAAAAGTTATATGCTCTCTTCATCCCAAAATTAAAGTCTATGTTGTTTTTTAGTGAAATAGTGACATTTTCTTCTTGTTTAGTTATCTTCTTGTTAATGTTTTTGATCGAAAATAAAAGAGCCTATAATGCTACACTATAGGGACAATACGGGCACACATCGCCAACAAGGCCACACATTAAAACTCATTTACAATTGAACAAGTCTATGCGTAACAATAATATAGTCATATCACTTTTTGTTTCGTAAAAATTTAATTGTAGTTTAAAATATTGAGTTTTATTTTTAATCCACCTCAATTTTTAAATACATTAATTTGAAAATAACTTCAGTCAAACATTGTAAAGCGAAACAGACGATTCAATTCGGGACGAAGGGAGTAAGATCTAGTTTTGGTATAACATTTCTTTATTTAAAACTATATTTAATTTGTGAATAAAGAATGTCATAATTTGAGTAAAAAATCTAAATAGACTTTACTTCGGGGTCAGAGGGAAAATTAAAAGCATATATTAAAATTTCTACGAAACAAAAAGTAATATTACTATATTATATTATCAAATTGGTAACAAAATTATGAAGAAAAAAAGAAAAAATGTTTTTAACCATGAGAATAATAAATGTAAAGATATTTTTGGTAGAGAGAGATCAATATGTTTGAATGGTGTAATTTAGAATTCAAAATTTTAGATAAAGAACCACAGAGCAAACCAATCCTTGCTTTGGAAAAAGACTACTAAAATTCTACACTATAGGGACAATACGCGCACAAATCGCCAACAAAGCCACACATTAAAACTCATTTGCAATTGAACAAGTCTACGGCTAACAAGAAGCTAATTAAATAACGATGAGAAAATGGGGGATGATATTTTGAGCACTAAAAAGGATGATGGGAGGAAGAAATGGATAACCACTAAAAATGGGAAGGGGAAGTTATGTACGGGTGGCGTAAGGAAAAGTAATGCAAGTTATAAAAGGATCATTCATTTACAAAGAAAGAATGAAAAGTAGAAACAACTTTAAAAAAAAGAAAAGAAACGACCCCTCCCTAAAAACCAAAAAAAATAAAAGAGAATAAAACTTGAAATAACTAATAATAATGGCAGAAACGAGAAAGAAAGTAATGGAGGCGGTGCTCCTGCTGTGTTGTTTCTATGCATGGGCGACGGTGGTGGTTGTACATGCGGAGGATCCCTACCTATTCTTCGACTGGAAGGTGACATACGGAAAGATGTCACCCCATGGCGTCTCAAAAGATGTCATCCTAATCAACGATCAACTTCCGGGCCCAAAGATCAATTGCACCTCAAACAACAACATTGTCGTGAACGTTTTTAATGAACTAGACGAGCCTCTATTGTTCCATTGGTCGGGCATCCAACAGAGGAAGAACTCGTGGCAAGATGGGACCCCCGGAACGATGTGCCCCATCATGCCAGGAACAAATTACACATATCATTTCCAGGTGAAGGATCAGATCGGGAGCTATTTCTACTTCCCAACCACCGGCTTGTTACGCTCGGCTGGTGGCTACGGGGCACTCAATGTCCATAGTCGTGCCCTCATCCCTGTCCCCTTTGACTGGCCCACCGAAGAATTCAACGTCTTCTTGAGCGATTGGTACAATAGGGGTCACAAAGAGCTAAAGAAAGCTCTCGATGATGGTCAGACCATTGCAAGGCCTAATGGGCTAGTGATCAACGCGAAGCACGGGCAGGTCGGGGATAAATTAGAGCCTATAGCAATAATGGAGGCTGGAAAGACGTATAGGTTCAGGGTGTGCAATGTGGGGATGAGAGCCTCAATGAATTTTAGGTTTCAAGGACATGGGATGACACTAGTTGAATTAGAGGGGTCTCACACAGTACAAAACGTGTATGACTCGCTTGACCTCCACACCGGACAGTGCCTTTCTGTTTTGGTGACGGCCGATCAAAAGCCCAAGGATTACTATTTTGTGGTCACCAGCAGGTTCCTCAAGAAACAGCTCTCCACCGTCGCCCTTGTCACCTATGCTAATGGAAAAGGCGTCCCGGCCTCACCTGAGTTGCCACCTCCTCCACCTGAGGACACTGAGGGCATTGCCTGGTCCATTAGCCAGTTCCGATCCTTCAGGTATGGCCTGGTCCATTAAGAAAATCTTTTGAAGATTCTATTTTTAAACTAATAGTACGTTAAGAATACCATCACCATCATCGTCTATATATGTATATTTGGTTTTAAGGTGGAATCTCACAGCTAGTGCTGCCAGACCCAACCCACAAGGATCCTACCACTACGGTCAGATCAACATTACCAGGACCTTGAAGTTGGTGAATACCAAGAGCGAAGAGGGAGGAAAGCTGAGGTACGCAATCAACGGCATCTCTCACACGGACGGGAATACCCCACTAAAACTGGCTGAGTACTTTGAGATGCCGGAGGCGGTGTTCAAGTACGACATAATGAGTGACGAGCCACCAGAAGACGGGAGCAAGGTGGTCGTGGCTCCCAACGTTGTGAACGCCACATTCCGTAACTTTGTGGAAATCATATTTGAGAACCACGAGAGGACCATCCAGACCTACCACCTGAATGGCTACTCGTTCTTCGCTGTGGGAATCGAGCCTGGGAGGTGGACCCCGGAGAAGAGGAAAAATTACAATCTGGTGGACGGGGTGAGTAGGCACAACATCCAGGTGTACCCCAACTCATGGGCCGCCATAATGACCACACTTGACAATGCCGGAATGTGGAACCTCAGGTCGGACATGTGGGAGAGATTCTATTTGGGACAACAATTATACGTTAGTGTCCTATCCCCGGCACGCTCCTTGAGGGATGAGTACAACATTCCTGATACTCAACTGCTGTGTGGTTCCGTGAAGGGCAAGCCCATGCCTAAACCTTATACTATCTAAACTTTATACGGAGATTTTTTTTTAAATTTTCAAATTTTCTATATTATTATCATTTTAAAAATATTAATTGTGAAATCTTTTTATTTTTTGTTTGGTCAAAAGAAAAGAAGAAGAAAAATAATAATACTGTATGACATTTGGACATGCAGTATCTAGGGCATATAGGTGAGTGTAGAAGGGATTAGTAAGAATGGAATGGTTCTAGAAAATATTCCTTGGTTAGCTCAGCTCACACGAGATCGATGATGTATTACTAATCCCTTTTACTTCATGACCAATTTTTTTTTTTAAATAATAAATGAGCGTAGGCCGGAAACGACGAATTAAATCTTTTGTTGTATATTGTATAATTGTTTTAAATTTTTAGTTATATATCTAATGGAACGTTACATTGGTTGTTTATTGTCATGTTTATTCTTGGTTGCTCTTTTCAATACATACGTTCATTATTCAAACATTTCAAATCATCATCATAAAGTTGAGCGGATTAATTGTGGTTACAACATGTGTCACGCCATGTCATCCTTTCATTGCCACCTACAATGCCACATCATTCCATTATGTAATACTAAGAAATATTTAATTATTACAAAAATGAGATAATATTCAATGTGAAGAAAATGAAAAGACACAACTATATATAATCATTTTTTAACAACTCTTCATTTTCTAACTTTTGTACCAATATGTTTCCACCATTAAATATTTATTATCATTTAAAAATTGTTTATTATATAGTTTATACGCTATTATTTGTAAAAAAAACAAAGCTTTAGTTTATATTAATGTTTATGAGTGCTTACTGTTTTATCCTTCTCTTTTACTTTCCATAAATAAAATTTATACTCGGGGCATAATGTTTACCACATGTGCATAATTTATAAATCTAATTCTTCTTCAAAAAATATCTATTGTTATTCTCTATATTTTTTATCAAATTAACATTTATGCCTTTATTTACAAGACATCAAAAATATGTAAATTTTTTCAATATTTAGTAGTTTATAGTTTTGCAATATTCTAGATATTACATTGTGTGGTTAACCAATTAAATGTCACAAATACTAAGCTTACTAATATTATAAATTACTAAATAAACAATTACATTTCAATAAACGTATAAAGTAATATATATATAAGATTTTAAATGTTCAAGAGTCATATCTATCATGAAAACAAAACAATTATATTTTAAAATTACTAAATAAGTTTTTTTAGAAAAATAATTATATAGAAAACTCTTTTTTATTGATTTTTATTTTTCTTATGCTTCCAATATTATCGAAATATTTTTCTATATATTAAAATATTTTTCCAAAAGTTTTTATTTTTACAGAAAAGTATGGTGTCAAAATAAATAAATAAATAAATAAACAAATAAATGCAATAAATATGGTGTTTATAATATTAAAAATTTATACTTTCAAGAAATTTATAAAAATATATGGAGTATCTAAATTTTGAGAAATTTATGTGTTTGAAAAAATTATTGTTCCGCTGATCTAAAAAATATATAAAAAAAAGAAATAGTTTTTTTAATTACTAATTATTACGGAGTATTATTTAGAAAAAATATTCATTTTATAACGCCATGAAAAAAGACTTGGAAAATGCATGAATAAACATTTGAATAGAAAAAAAGAATTGTTATCACCACTAAAATTATATTTTGAGTGCTATTAACTATATTAAAATATACGGAGTAGTATTCCTTCAAACTTTTTAAAATTAATTATGCATATTCATAAATTAAATTTTGTGAATTTGTCATATGGAAAAATTAATTCGAGTCCATTCATGTTTATCCAAATAATATTATCAAATCCAAATAATTGAGAGTTGAAGTAAATGACTTAGGAGTAGTTCAATAAATTTTCCAATAGAGGATTTAACATGACTACTTTAATACAAAGTGAATTATACTTACTTATTCATTTTTAATTTTATCTTTTACATAAAATATCACATTTGTAGATATAATTCATATAACTATATACGCGCCCGTGCGAAGCACGGGGTATAAACTAGTACTAAGATATAAGATGATTTGGAAAAGGGATTTTCTCCCATGACAGTCTCTTAATTTGAGAGGGCATGGATGCCCTCCTACTATTATTTTGACATGTGGACAATTTTATGATTAAGTTTATTAGTATTAATATGTAAAATCTCAATTATGGAGTACATTTTAGAAAATTTTAACTTATTCTTCATCCTTTATTCATTCTATTTTTTTCTTAAAGTTGCGTTATATTTTGATGAAAAGAAAAAGTATTCAACATTTTTGAATTTTTATTCCCTAGTTCTTTTGAATTTTTTTTCTTTCTTTAAAAGATAAATAAAATATTTCATATATTTTGATAAAAATTATTTGAAACAATCCTATTTTTTTCGTGCTCTTCTAAAAATAACATACTTGTCACTTTCGCGTGTAATAATTTCCCCTTCTCCCATGTGTGCAAGTTTTAAATCGCCGTTCAGCAACTAATCGTAAATTGACGAATTTCTATAGAAATTTTCAATTTTGCACAAACAAAAGCCGGGTGAGATTATTTTAGATGATTTTTCAAAAAAATTTCAGAAGTTTTAATTTTTGGAATTATGCTTTTAAGAATATAACATTACGCTCTTGACTTCTTGTTAGCTATATGTCTCTTTTAAAAAGAAAAGGGATCACTATCATGTACGGAAACAATAAAAAATAGAATAATACAAGGAAACTATCATGTACATCTAAATCAAATAACAATATACATGGAAATATATTATTTCCTTTAACATCCCTCTCAAGTTGGAGCATGTAAAATGGAAAAGCCCAACTTTGGAATTAGGAACTCCATGCATGTTTTACCCAGTACCTTCACATGAATATGTGCAAGCTGAAGTGAAATGGGAAAATAACGTGTGTGAATCACGCCACGAAAAAGTTCATCACGGACAAAGTGGCAGTCAATTTCAATGTGTTTCGCGTGCTCGTGAAAGACTAGATTAGCAGCAATATGATGTGCAGTCGTGATATCACAGTATATCACTACTACTGTTAGACCCGAGCTCTGGGATTAGACTTTAAATTTAAGAACAAAGCTTCTTAAAATGTAGGAAAGGAGGATAGTCGATTATCTAGGTATGATAATCGACTAACAGGTGCTTCAGTTTCTCAGGAGAATTTTTAGAAGTTTCAGGAGAGGTAGTTAGTCGATTGACCAGATGGTGTCATTCGACTATTGTGGGCTGCAGATTTTCTGAGGAAGTTGATAGTTGATTGTCTAAGATTGACAGTCGACTATTGAAGGCTGCGGGGTTTTTGTTAAGGATGGATACTCGATTGTCAAAAGTGAGAATCGACTATCAGGCGGCTCGGGAAAGGAAAAAAAGTATTCTTTGGGAAAGGGGAGCAAACCAAGTTGGTGTTAAGAGATATTACACACTCTTATCTCAACTTGGGGTTGAGTCTAGCATTCAAATACGATATTACACACTTATTTAAATAACTAGAACCTAAAACTCACACTCAAGAGAACCACTCTTAAGATATAGATTTAGGAATTTAAAATAGCACACACAAACAAGTGTATTACTAAGTTGAAAATGGGAATACAATATATGTGTTTACAATGCCCAGGTATGAGCTTATATAAGCATAGAAAAAGGAGACTACCAAGTCTCTTATTCACACAAACTAAAGGAATTAATGGCCACATGTTGATGTTCTTTTGGTGGGGGAAAAACACAGGGGTGATTGTACTTGTAGGGTAGGATTCTTGGCCATTAGTGGTAGGAGGGAATATGTGAATATAATTCACAATTGATTGGCTTTGGTGGGGCTGTTTTTGGGCAGGAGGAAAGGTTGGATGGTAGGCTATTTGGATGCATTTCCTAGGCAGAATATGGGGGAATCAAAGGGGGTTGAAGGGTGTGGGTGTGGGCCAAAGTGTCTTGGATTTTTGTGGCTGTTTGTTTAGCCAAGTTGAGGTGTAAGGAAGTGGTAATGGCATGGTTAAGGGCTGGGGTTTTTGGTCAGGGATGGAGGGAGGGGAAAGGTAAGGAAAAGAAATATAGTTTTGGGTCTAATATTTTTTTTGGATATTTTGGGGATTGGCTTGGATGAGAATGGCTGGGTTTTAAGTGGGAGTTGGGCTCAGGGATATTATGGCTATCTGGCGGGTTTTAGAATTGATAAGCTCGGTCCAAAAGGGATCATAACATTTAGCCATTATTCCATTAATTTTCTTAACGACTTTAGAGTCGTTGGTAGTCGCCCGGGGTATATCAACTACAATAAAAGAAAATCGACTACCCCATTTGCATCAATTCCACTGAAAACCAATGCAAATGACGCGGAGGATTTTGCAAACTGGTTTCATTTTGCATCGATAATTACTATAACCAATGCAGATGGACTTAATCTTTTGCATAGATTATCAGTAATAAAAGATGCAAAAGGCTAGTCCATCAGTTATTACTAATAAATGATGCAAAACAGTGAGTTAAAATAAACCACACAAGGCGTATCTCTTACGCGATCTCATTTGTACACAACCATTCATTCATTCGGCGTGCCATCATCGACGTCGTGTGCTTCGTTACCTTCGTCGCTCCATTGTTGGTTCATGTGAGAATGCGATCTTATGAAAGAAATAAGAATGAATCCGGTGCTTTAGATTATGAGATCTAAGGGTCAGGATTGCATCAAAATTAGGTGCACCAAAATGGTTTGAAAATGCATCATGTCGAAATGCACCAAAATCCCTTGAAAATGCACTATCTCAAAATCTGAGTGCAGGATGCAATCTGAGCCGCACGATGCATCAGATCCAAAGGCTAGATTTTATTCTTATTTCTTTCACCAAGGTGCATTCTCACCTGAACCGGCCCCTATATATAATTTGGATCAGGTGAGAATGTAATCTAATGAAAGAAATAGGAACATCTCTCCACCGTTAGATCTGATCGCGCATGCATTTATTTGTGTCAAGTCTTCAAGGGCTTTTTGGGGTTAACACTTACACAGTTCTCATTATATTCTTTCTCCCTCTATGTTTCCGGATTTTTCTCACGGTCTATAGATCTGAGTTGTCTTCCTCATTCTCTCTCACTTTAATGCTTCAAAATCTTTACTTCATTCCTTATACCTTTCTTTTCCTATCACAACACTGTTTACTCTCACTCCATATTGAGATATCGATTGGAAAGACAAAGAGAAATAGATCGAGCAGAGCCGCAGAGCTAGATTTAGGTGCTTCTCTGGATTTGTTCAAAGAAGGGATGGAGACGATTCGAGCCGAGAAGCAGGTACAACTTTGGTTTTGGGCGCTGCTCTAAATCTGTTCGAACGGAGAAGAGAAAACTCAAGGTGGACTTCTTTAATTAGCCTTTTAATTTTATTTTTATTAATTAGGATTTTAAGATTATGAATTCTTAATTCATGAATATGTACCTAATGATTATACTTGGGAAATGATTAGTTTCCAACCTAAAGTGTCAATATGTGTTTCATTCCCACGTGATAACTGTCAATCTAATGCATTTGTGTTTCGATATTGTACAGAACCATATTCTGATATTCAAGATCTATGGCTACCTGATTTATCCTTTATATTTATGCACAAAAGAAAAATGCATCATTGTTTACCTTGATTTGTACTACATTCTCATAAAATAGAATTCTCCCTTGGGATAACAATAATGACATCATCACATGAATAAAACAGTGGGAGGATATGTGCAATATCAACACCACAAAATGCATTACACGGATATAAAAATGATACTCTATATCTCATGAATGAAATTGTCCAGACCAAAAAATAATGAAATAATTAAATCAAATGATAAAAAACCACGAAATATAATCAACGAATATGAGCCAAATCAAGAGAGTTAACAAAAGCATGACCAAGGCAAAAAATCCCCAAAATCAATTGTAATGTTTGAAATGCATTGGGACATTCATTTAACAGAATTTGCCAATAAAAAAATAAAAGAGTAAAAAGGAAATTGTGGAAAAAGTTAACCCAAAGTGAATATAGAGTTCGTATATGTGTGCAGTACAATATCATAAATATGAAGTGCATTATTAGACTATTAAAATGACATCTCATGAATAAAGTAAACCACACCAGAAAACAATGAAACAACATAATAAAAAGGTTGAAGAACTACCTGCTATATTCAACTAATATGTTAACACAGGAGAAAAATCAAATTTTTGAAAACAATATGAAAAGAATTAAATCAAGAATCATAGTCAAATTAAGTAAACATTGATAGAGAAACAAATTAAATATGTCATTTGGAGTAGACTAATGTCTACAAAAGAATTTAATAAATATTATACTCCATGACACAATGAACATGAACCATAAATTATAGTTTGACACAGCTTAGGAAACGTTTAAGCATAATGCAAAAAATGTGGAAATCAAACTTATGAAAGTTGAAATATACATGCGTGATGCATTTGTGAAACATACTAAATAATAAAATCAAAATCAAACTTACAAAAAACAGGTATTTGCCATAAACTGAACACTATGTTTAATAATAAATTTACCATAAAGAAGAAGAGGCAGAGCGCAGGGAAAGAAAGTGAAAGAAAAATGAATAAAACAAAAATGCCAAAAAAAACTCCGTATAACCCAATTTTCTGAAGGAAGTGGTTCTCCTTGTTGTCCACTGCAATCACCACTATCCAATTGCCATTGTAAATCATCGCTACTTCAAAATTCTCATCCCTCACTGCATCTGCACTGATGCCCCGTCCACCGCAACCTAAATTTTTGACGATAGCCTCGCCGCCACACCCCGTCGTCCCCTCTCCTTCCCTTTCCAGTTCGCTCCTGTCTCTCTTTTGATTGAATAAAACGACCTCTCGAATAAAAGGAAACAGAGATCGTCTGTTGATTGTGCGGATCCGGCTAATACCATTAAACGGGTGAGAGAAGAATGTTATGTTAAATCCCAAAAATGCCCATAATCAATAGCGTATCTCACATCTAAATTTGAGTAGATCTAACAGTGATTAATCATTCTTATTTCTTTCATTACATCGTATTCTCACCAGAACCAATATATATATATATATATATATATATATATATAAAGTTGAGACTCCAATGCATAAGAACTTGACATGGAATTAAACTTTTGCTTTTTATCAAAAAGAAAATTATTAAAAATAAAAAAGATCATTGAATTAATAAGAATAAAATTATTCAATAAATCATTTGTATAAAAAAATGAAACTTTTATCCTTAGAAAGTTGACATGAGCATTACTTATGTGACTTTTTACACCTAATATGTCACCTAATTTATGATATAAAATATGAAAAAATATTTTGGTATGAAATCTTCAAATAAATTTAATTATGAAATAGTGATATTAATTTTTATATTAATATTTTTTCATAATTCAGTATTTATATTTCTTCATTTATAACAAAATTTAATAAATTAATAGGCTACTCTCTTCACCTGTAAATTAATTTCATATGAATATTTTTTTATGATAAGTTTAAATGAAGCTAGTTTTGAATCTATTTTTTTCAATGTTCTTATAAAGTAAAAAAACAAACAATATATTTTATAAATTACATTAAACATATATGCGTTTCTAAAAAAACAAGAGATAGTTGGTTATAATTGTGTTCAAGTAGAAAAATATTACTATACATACTTTCATAATTAATTATTTTAATTTTATGAGTTTAGTTAATTGCTAAAAAAATTATCGTTTATAGGTTTTAGATGTTTTTTGATTTAAATAAAAAAAATATTATTTTTAACTATCTATTGTGATATGATACTTAATTTAATTGAATTATATAATGTAATTGATCAAAATAAAATTTCACATTTTTTTATTATATGCTTAAATTAAGTTAATTTTTATTTTACATATATAAATATAAAATCAATAAAAAAATACTCTAGCATATTTTAATCTCTAACATAATATGGTGTATTATACAAAACAAGAGGCATCTAGATTATTTTTTAAATGATGAACTATTTAAATAAAATAAATTAAAAAAGAATGTTTTCACGGGCTTGAATTATTTCTTATTCAAACATAAAGGAAAATGAATTGAATGGGAATTTTCCAATGTATTTATAAATTTTTATTCAGAATCATAAGATTGCTAATATTTTTTATATCAGTTTTTGTTTGAATTAATGCATTAGAGAAGAATCATTGAAATTTTAATATTCTTTTAATTTATTTTTTGAATCATACAATGCTTAATTCAAGATTTGACAACAAAGCGAACTGATACAATTAATGAATAATATTTTTCAAATTATTCAAACATTCCAATATGTGTACCACATATACATATGAGGGTTAAAGAATACTTCCTATTTTTGGATTTAAGAATTATATTTTTTTAAAGGAATTAATTTAGAGTCATTAGTTTTTATGAAATAATTAGTTATGCAATACTTCTCTATATGAATTTTAATAATATTATATTTAGGTTAGTGGTCTTATATCAAAGAAAAATAAAGGGTTTGGTTGTTACCTATCTTGAAAAATTACAAGTTTGGATTTCTCATTGTATGAGTAGACTTAATCTTTTCATTTGACTTTTAATGATCTCCTATCTAACATTTTGACCATTAGTATTGATATTTATCCTTATCATATCATATGTAAAATTCATATTTCAAAACAACTTTTCAAAATAAAATATTGATATTACATTTATTGAGGAACAAACATTATTTTTTTCATATATCGAGGCATATATTTATAAAGTTTGACCAATAAAATCAAATTAGACGATTAAATATGAACAAAAGGAGTATTGTGGAAGAATTTTGACACTTAGTAAAATAATTTTATGTGATTGAGTAAAAACTAAAATTTATTTTTGTGAGTAACAAAAATTTTAAAAATCAAGTTCCATAAAATATAATTATATCGAGGATGTGATATAATTACTCTCCATTATAGAATAAAAATTACTTATGGAAGAATATGCATGTTCAATTGGCCTTTCTTTATTCTAGATGGAACGGATCATGCAATACTACCTAAATTGTCATATTCTAAAGGAAAGGAATATGTTAAAAAAATACATATTCCAATATAAAGTTACTAAAAATGTGTGTGCATTTAAAAGTGTTTATAAGTGCATGGATATATTAATCATTTACATATTTTTTTATAGGTTTTACCTTTTATCATTGATACATTAATCATTTACATACTTTTATAGGTTTTACCTTTTAGCATTGATACATTAAGCATTTACATACTTTTTATAGGGTTTTTCCCATAAATAATTAACTTAAACTAATAATTTAAATCAATTTTAAAATATACAAACCAATGTAAACATTATTTATAAAATTTGAAACCAAAAAATATTACCCTTTAATTTTATTAGAATTAAAAAAAAAATAACAATATAACTTTGGTTAGAAAGTAAAAAATTAGAAATCATCTCGGAGAATATCTGAATATATTGGAGAATATGAACTTTTTTTGAATGCTAAATCTTATAATTTCAATAAAACATTAAATATAATGATGTGCGATAACTCAAGTTTAGGGTAATATTAATGGAAATAATTAATACTCCTTAAATCCAATTACAAAATGTTCAAATACATTAAAAGGACTGTATCATAGGTGTTCAAAGTAGATCAATATTGTGATTAAAAAAGAAAAAATCAGTATTTAAACTTTATTGTTCTGTTTTTTTACGTATTGTTAGTAGGAGCATCCAATTTTTCTATAACAATTGGAAAATGAAAAATTAACCTGACGAGATATGGACGAGATCGGCTAGAGATGCAAGAGAAAGAAGAAAAGGAATACTTCAACTAAAAAGGACATAAAAAGGTACGTATTTTTACGATAATGATTTTATTTTAACAATTCAACATTTCAACATACACCTGTAAAAATCATAAACACCGTTCGTAGGTTTCCTAGAAATCATGGATAGTTAAACTGCAAAATCGTTGCTTTAGATTTTTCATGTTTCCGTCTTTTTATATGAGAAATTTACCTAAATAAGACTAAAACATAATGACTTTCTCAATATAGGACCATATGTTTTGATTTTCCAATGTATGATCATTGGTCATTATCCTAGTCATTATTCAAGTAAATGTCCACCATCACTGGATATTTTTCCTCTCACTAGACATTATTAAGTCCTATTTATGGAATAAAAAAATTTAAGTCCTTGTAACGACCCAAGAACCGGATTAGTAGTTAGCCGTTATTTTAATAAAAATAAATATTAAATTTATTTATAAAAAATATGAATTATTTGTGAAGTTGTCCGTTTTGAATAAAAATTAGGTTTTTGGGTAGATCTCGTAAAATGGTGACCAACGATATATAGCTTGTAAAATTTGGATTTACGTGTAGAGTGTGGTGAGTAAAATAGAAGTTACAGTTCAATAATTAAATATAAATAGGGTTGTTCATGTTTAGGTCTGGACCGAAAAAACCAACCGAACCGGACCGTTCGGTCCAGACCGAACCCGAACCGAATGGATTTCGGGTCGGTCTTCGGTCCAAAAAAATTAGGAATTCGGGTTTCGGTCCGGTCCGGTCCAAACCCGAAATGATTTAGGTTCGGACCGATTGGACCGGATGGACCTAATAACCCTATTGGACCTAAAAGACCTAAATACGTAAACTCTACTTT